CTTAAACGTTTTTAATTTCATTAATATGTACCTTTTAATGATTTTCCTTTTAATTTTTGTAATGTTAATTTTTTAATTAAAAAAATGATTGAAGAATTCTAGGTTTTTATATTTTTTTCTTTTAACAGGGCGCAATTCAAGTCTTAACTGAGCAGCCCCAGTTAAGCATTCTATTAATTTATTACGTATTTCTTTCTCTTGACATTTTTCACATTTTTTTCTTCATTTGCGCATTGTAATAGAGGGCGCTGTTTTCTTTAGGTTTTAGTTTTTTCTTTTCATTCGGCTTGCTTGAGAAATTGATGTCTGACCTGTGAATATGTGAGTTTTTATTTTTCTGATGATTTTGTTTGAGTTTCTTTTCTTAATTTGTTATTTATATTGCATTTTTTTCCTGGACATCTATGCAAAACCATAGGGGTACTGAGGGAGTTAATTTAAGCATTTGCTTCTCCCTCAATTAGATATGATTTTGGTTTTATGGCTACCGGGGCCGGTACCCCCTGAAGTCGTCGGCTTCGGTGGTCATATTTTCATTTACATTTCCTTCATTTTCTTTTTCTTTATTAGTCTGTTGCCAACATTGAAAGATGAAATATTATTGACTCTATTATACTCCTAGTATAGGTAAATGGTATGCAACATCATTCATTTTCAGTCATATAAAAATATGGTGGATGTTTTCACCAATCAAAAGTGACTTTATTTTGTGTGACTTTTTTTCTCCCTATTCGATGTTTCTTGCCTGTCTTGGTGGAGCAGGAAGTCAGTAATTCCTAGCAAATGTGTGTTTTGATGTAGACTTACATATAACATGCACGATTGACTTTCATGCGTTTTCTTTGCTTCCAGTTTTTGCACAAAATCAATTTATTTGAAAAGAACACTGTTTGCCTGCACTTGCTTACAAAGGAAAAATATTTAGAATAAAATTCCTCAAAATTTGAAAAAATAACTGTACTTGTCACCTGATATTTTTGTCGTAGTAAAATCATGAAACCATGCTCAGAAATTGTTCCTTTTCCAGGACTTGAAAGGTAACACAGACAAAGACACTCCTGTTATAAATGTTTTTCCTGACCTTGTAGAAGCGAGGTTTTTCAAAATAATTCCATTAGAATACCAAAACAAAATTGGGCTGAGACTAGAACTACTTGGCTGCTATCATCCATCCGGTAAGTTCATATTTAGTTCCATACAATAATTACTGTTACCAACAATTTAATTTATAATTTAAAAATTAAACTTACTCTACTCTATGCTAAGATCTGTAAAAAAACTTACAAGTACTGCCTGCATAAAAATATAGCATTGATACTTTTTCTCTTGGATAGATCAATTCACAATTAAAAGCTGTGTTGAAAAAAATATTTTCGCTTTAAATTTTAAATAACTTTAAAATTCGAGTAACATTTTTACTGCATTTTATTTATTTATTTTCTATTTTTTAGTAGTAAATTACTTAGAAACTTAGATGTTTACCTGACTCAAGCAGCAAAATTTCTTGAGCCTTTTCGAACAATTCTCGACCAATATTAATGAATCTTTTCTAAATCAGAGTTGAAGGGGTAGCCCAATAGTTTCCCTTTATATGACCCATATAAAATTGTCAGTGTCACCCGATATTTCATGTAATTTTTTTAGTCAATATAGGCACCGTTAGATTCAGCATATATTTTCAGTAAATATACTCCCCACATAGAATTGCCAGATACACCCAATATTTAATAGCCCGAATCAGACCCTTAATACAAGTCACAAATTAAGACAATATTAGGTTTTGTTTTTAAAGAAGATAACTAAGTTAATGAGCAAAATTTTTCGTTTCCAGACTTCTCATCATATATTTTTTGAATTAGTGTCAACAATTTAATACGAAATGATGCACTTTGCTGGTCACAAATGAATGCTTATAGGAGATAAAGACAAAATCTTCATCAAAATCAGAAGCATTTTTTAATATCAACATTGATCACGTGGCTTCACAATTATTCTACATATTTAAGTTCTAAGTTTAAAAGTATGAAAGCCAGTTTAACTGTCTGCTAAAACCAAAAGGTTGGGAAGAGAAGTAAAATGGTAGTCTTATAACCGTCCTTCAAGTTCAACAATCAAGCAGATTTCGATGCTGATTCCTGGCTCGATAGTTTGTTTAGGAAGAAAAAAAATTTCAATAAAATATAAAATTGTAACTCCTAATGTGAATATATTTTTAAAGTCCTTTGTAGAAAATATTCTAAAATGATATTTTAAAGGTAGTGATTACTATACATCCTAAACCAGTGATTCTCAATCACTGTGCCGCCAAATTCTTAAAATGTGCCGCCAAATATTAGAAATGATACAATAAAAATTAGAATCCTTTTTTTTTATTATGAGTAAAGTTTAAATTAAAGAAAAGTGCAAAGTGTATATATATATAGGAGGGAGAAGCAAATGCTTAAATTAACTCCCTCAG